ACTAATGGAGACCAGTTGGTAGAGGGTATCAGATGTAGATGTGAGGGTACCTGCAGTCTGTGCTGAGAAGTGTTCTGTTGTTCATCATGAACTCATGTTGGAACTGAGTCCAGTTTGAATCTGAAATATTGATCATCTCTTTTATTCTGTGTCTTTGACCTCTCTCTGTTTGATCTTCTGTCCTCTCCAGACTCTGTCAGGCTGCTGGGGGGGACCAGTCTGTGCTCAGGCAGACTGGAGGTGAAGTCTAACCAGTCTGACCCGTCCTGGTCCTCAGTGTGTGAGGCTGACTTTGACCAGCAGGATGCTCAGGTGGTCTGCAGGCAGCTGGGCTGTGGGGCTCCTTCAGTCCTCCAGGGGGCGCTCTATGGAGAAGGGGAGGCTCCAATGTGGACCAAAGAGTTCCAGTGTGGAGGCCATGAGTCTGCTCTCCTGGACTGTAGCTCAGCCTCAGAGAGAAACACCTGCTCACCTGGCACAGCTGTTAGCCTCACCTGCTCAGGTAGAGAGGAGCTGTGATTGGTTCATTCTGTTCTCATCAAACTCACTTTATTCTCTCTCTGATCTCTCTCTTGTTTCTCTTCAGAGCCGGTCAGACTGGTGGGAGGAGAGAGTCGCTGTGCAGGAGACCTGGAGGTGAAACATCTGGGAGACTGGAGACCAGTGGGGGGCTATTACTCTCTCAAGACCCTGAAGACAGCAGGTGTTGCCTGCAGAGAGCTAGACTGTGGCTCTGCTGTTTCTGTGAGAGAGAGAGAGTCCTCAGAGAGACCTGTGTGGGGGATGAGACCTTCCTGTGTTCAGTCTGGACCTGCTCTGAGGGAGTGTGCAGTATCAAGTTCCTCTTCCTCCACCCTGACTCTCACCTGCTCAGGTAAGCCCATCAGTGAAACCACCAATGACATCATCTCTCACATCTTCTAAAGGGTGCAGTAGTTCCCAGTGAATATGGAAACACTGCTTGTCTCCAAACGGCCCTACCTGATGTGTGTATATGAAACATGTGTGCTGCTCCAGGAGTCCCCGGGGCCAACCAGTCTGAAAGGACTCCTTCTTCAGCTCCACCTCTCTCTGAGCCTCTGGGTTCCACCAGCAGGTTCTTTGGGTTCCACCATAACAGCACCAAGACCTCCTGAACACAGCTCTGATCAGCTCAGCCGGGCTCTTCAGTATCTCCACACCACATGGAGTCCTTCACCCTGGGGGGCTCCTCACATGGAGACGGTCCAGACCCTATCACTTTCACTTTTTAGAAACATCTCTAAACATCTTTGTATTCTAGGTTACAGATTCTCTTAGAAAAATAACAAGGAGTTACATCTGCAGAGGAGGATGTTTTATTGTTTGAAGACACGGGGAAAGGGTTCACTAATGGAGACCAGTTGGTAGAGGGTATCAGATGTAGATGTGAGGGTACCTGCAGTCTGTGCTGAGAAGTGTTCTGTTGTTCATCATGAACTCATGTTGGAACTGAGTCCAGTTTGAATCTGAAATATTGATCATCTCTTTTATTCTGTGTCTTTGACCTCTCTCTGTTTGATCTTCTGTCCTCTCCAGACTCTGTCAGGCTGCTGGGGGGGACCAGTCTGTGCTCAGGTAGACTGGAGGTGAACTCTAACCAGTCTAACCCGTCCTGGTCCTCAGTGTGTGAGGCTGACTTTGACCAGCAGGATGCTCAGGTGGTCTGCAGGCAGCTGGGCTGTGGGGCTCCTTCAGTCCTCCAGGGGGCGCTCTATGGAGAAGGGGAGGCTCCAATGTGGACCAAAGAGTTCCAGTGTGGAGGCCATGAGTCTGCTCTCCTGGACTGTAGCTCAGCCTCAGAGAGAAACACCTGCTCACCTGGCACAGCTGTTAGCCTCACCTGCTCAGGTAGAGAGGAGCTGTGATTGGTTCATTCTGTTCTCATCAAACTCACTTTATTCTCTCTCTGATCTCTCTCTTGTTTCTCTTCAGAGCCTTTCAGACTGGTGGGAGGAGAGAGTCTCTGTGCAGGAGACCTGGAGCTGAAACATGAGGGAGAATGGAGACCAGTGGGGGGCTATCCCTCTCTCAGGAACCTGAAGGAAGCAGGTGTTCTCTGCAGACACCTGGACTGTGGCTCTGCTGTTTCTGTGGGAGAGAGAGAGTCCTCAGTGAGATCTGTGTGGAAGATCATCTCTGCCTGTGTTCAGTCTGGACCAGCTCTGAGGGAGTGTGCATATTCAGCTTCCTCTATCCACATTGTGACTCTCACCTGCTCAGGTAAGCCCTTCTATGACTCTCTCTCTCTCTCTCTCTCCTCTCTCTCTCCCTCTCTCCTCTCTCTCTCTCTCTCTCTCTCTCTCTCTCTCTCTCCTCTCTCTCTCTCTCTCTCTCTCTCTCTCTCTCTCTCTCTCTCTCTCTCTCTCCTCTCTCTCCTCTCCTCTCTCTCTCTCTCTCTCTTTCTCCTCAACTCTTAGTCTTGGAGTTTAGATGTTATCTTTGTAAAGAACTTTGTTCTAAGGTCTTGGTATGTTTGAAACATGTTGTTGTTCCACTGACTGAATGATGAGGTACTGAAACATGTTGTTGTTCCACCACTGACTGAATGATGAGGTACTGAAACATGTTGTTGTTCCACTGACTGAATGATGAGGGACTGAAACATGTTGTTGTTCCACTGACTGAATGATGAGGTACTGAAACATGTTGTTGTTCCACCACTGACTGAATGATGAGGTACTGAAACATGTTGTTGTTCCACTGACTGAATGATGAGGTACTGAAACATGTTGTTGTTCCACTGACTGATTGATGAGGTACTGAAACATGTTGTTGTTCCACTGACTGAATGATGAGGTACTGAAACATGTTGTTGTTCCACTGACTGAATGATAAGGGACTGAACCATGTTGTTGTTCCACTGACTGAATGATGAGGGACTGAAACATGTTGTTGTTCCACTGACTGAATGATGAGGTACTGAAACATGTTGTTGTTCCACTGACTGAATGATAAGGGACTGAAACATGTTGTTGTTCCACTGACTGAATGATGAGGGACTGAAACATGTTGTTGTTCCACTGACTGAAGGATGAGGTACTGAAACATGTTGTTGTTCCACTGACTGAATGATGAGGGACTGAAACATGTTGTTGTTCCACTGACTGAATGATGAGGTACTGAAACATGTTGTTGTTCCACCACTGACTGAATGATGAGGTACTGAAACATGTTGTTGTTCCACTGACTGAATGATGAGGTACTGAAACATGTTGTTGTTCCACTGACTGAATGATGAGGTACTGAAACATGTTGTTGTTCCACTGACTGAATGATGAGGTACTGAAACATGTTGTTGTTCCACTGACTGAATGATGAGGTACTGAAACATGTTGTTGTTCCACCACTGACTGAATGATGAGGTACTGAAACATGTTGTTGTTCCACTGACTGAATGATGAGGTACTGAAACATGTTGTTGTTCCACTGACTGAATGATGAGGTACTGAAACATGTTGTTGTTCCACCACTGACTGAATGATGAGGTACTGAAACATGTTGTTGTTCCACCACTGACTGAATGATGAGGGACTGAAACATGTTGTTGTTCCACTGACTGAATGATGAGGGACTGAAACATGTTGTTGTTCCACCACTGACTGAATGATGAGGGACTGAAACATGTTGTTGTTCCACTGACTGAATGATGAGGGACTGAAACATGTTGTTCCACCATTGACTGAATGATGAGGGACTGAAACATGTTGTTGTTCCACTGACTGAATGATGAGGGACTGAAACATGTTGTTCCACCATTGACTGAATGATGAGGGACTGAAACATGTTGTTGTTCCACCACTGACTGAATGAAACAGTGTGTGTTATTGAACAGGAGTGATGCAGGAAGTCTCATCTGTGTGCTGTCATGTCTCTATAGGCCACCAGGGGGCGGAGGCCGAGCCGACAGGAGGACATTGAGCTGGATAACCTGGGTGTTCCTGCAGAAGAGGAAGGAGCTCAGAGAGCAGAGTAGCAGCTCCAAAGACCTCCTCACGCACGCACGCAAGCACGCACGCACGCACGCACACACACAGACACACACACACACACACACCATCCATATGTCTTTTCTGACTTCCTGTCAGCTCCAAGCCCATTGGTTCCTTCTGAAGACGTAGATCTTTAACAACAACTCACACATTTGGTTGAATTTGTAAAGTCAAAGCAGTCGGTGCAGTTTGAAACCAAAGACACAGCAACCCCGGCTGAATAATGTCATATATTTAATAAAACTAGTGAAATCTGCATTGCAATACCTGATGCCAATGAATCCAGAGAGAACAGGAGAAATGTGTTACAGCGCCACCTGCTGGTGGATTTGAGCACATCGAGAGTTGGTGTTTTTCATTTCTTTTTTTATTTCAACAAGCATTCAAAGCTCAGTTTTATAAAACCTGATGTTTTTCACACAAATTAAGAGCTTCACTTTAGCGTTCCCTTGTTGTTGACATGACTGTTTTTTGGTCTGAGAAGTTTAGCCCAAAATGTAGCTTAACATTAATATTATAATATAATTCAAAACAAAAATTAATACTCTCAATGCTTCTCGTGTTTAAGGATCAGTGTTTCCCATACATTGAGAAACATTGGGTGCCCCCACAAATAGAATCAAATTCTGTGGGAAACACTGAGGATTTCATACATATTAAATCAAGAAAAAAAAAATATTTCACAAGAATTACCTTTGAAGTAATTTGTTTTAATTGATTGTAATTTGGTAAACAAAATAGTTTTTTGTATTAAATGATGTCCTATTTACTGTGCTTAGTTTTGTAATTAATATTTGAGCTTATTATATATCGTTAAGGATTTGTTTTATTTGAGTTGTAATTCATTTTGATATGTTGTGATTGTGATTGTTAAGAATTCTTATTCTTATTATTGTATTTTGCCATTTTCCTTAAATCCATTTAAGACCAAGACTTTGGCTTCTGATTTAGTAATTAAAACATCCTCCTAACTTACAAGTATTCTGCCTCGTGTGGTAATCAGCTGTTGGGCTTGCATTTAATAATGATTGCCATGAACATTTCATAAGATTCAATCAATTTCATAGTTACGGATTGTTCTCATTGATTAAGAATGATGCTTCATTTTGTGAACAAATATTGAGCTTTTTGCCTTTATCTTATAAGTTTATGCATTATGTATTTTTGTGTTGTATCACACGTTGTCTACTATGTGACCAAAAAAACAATAAAACTACTTTAATAATCCAGAAACCTCTGTGGATATTTATTCATGGTTTTCTTCTTGTTGGAATATTTTCTTTTAATATTTTTTTACTTTCTTTGAATTTGCCATATGATACATCATATCATATAATAATTACTCTGCATGACCCCCAATATCATATTATGTATTTATTTTTACAACCTACCTACCTACCTACCTACCTACCTACCTACCTACCTACCTACCTACCTACCTACCAACCTACCTACCTACCTACCTACCAACCTACCTACCTACCTACCTACCTACCTACCTACCTACCTACCTACCTACCTACCTACCTACCTACCTACCTACCTACCTACCTACCTACCTACCTACCTACCTACCTACCTACCTACCTACCTACCTGTTAAGACAAACACATTAAAGCCGAAAGACAACGTGAGATCACCATCTGTACAATCAATAACAAAGAAACCCCCAGTGAAAAACGAAATCCTGCCGAGTCCTCAGTGAAGGTTTTGAGTACCTGTTAGGCTCACTGTAGTCTAACAAAGTGTTCGTCCAACATGCTCCAAAGCTAGGAGGCTACAACCTGTCATACCATCCAAATGATAGAGCCGTTAACGAGTGCGTTGTGTAGAAAAATGACTGACTGGTGAAATCTCCACATGACATTAAACATGAAAACCCTGCCGAAACCAAACGGACGAACAGCCGCATGATGTGGGTCACTTTAAGGCAAATTAACAATGTATGGAAGTCTGTGGCTTAAAATACTAAAACTAGTTAACCACATTGAGATGTAATGTTCCTTGTGTGTGCACATGATGAATGACAATATTAAAATGTTAAAATCCAATGCAAAAACGTGACATTTTGAATGAAAGCCACATAGATGATTGCCTTTCAATGTTGGCATCTCATGTAAATGACATTCAACTTGCTAAGACCAAGTGTAAAGACCACTGGTATTCAATATTTAACTCTTCATTCCCGTTTAAAATCTTAAGTAATTTTCGTAATACAGCCTATAACACTATATAAATATATAAAGCCAATAATATTCTCAATACATTCCCCTTTTTTAACAGCCAACACAACTTTGTAGGCACTCAGTTTGAAGAACGGAGGAAATTAACAACACCGAAAAATAATCTTAAAAATTACAATAACATGATGAATTCAACAGTGGCAAAATTCACCAAGATATCACAGCTGATGTTTCACCGTCACCTCAAATGTGCTTAAAATCCATTATGGTCTCAAAACGTTTGACCTTTTAAAAGACAACAGATTAAAGTCCTGATCTTGTGTGTTTTCTCCTGCAGATTGAATCATGAATTAAGTTATTCAAAGAAGTAAAGTTAGGATTCTGCCTGAGACATATTGAACACAGTGCTGTTAGCTTAGCATACCTTCTCTAAGGTCTGGACAATTGGGTAGAAAAAGCCTTATTGGATGTGTTCAATGGGAAATAAACAACTACATACATGACGAGAAATGCGCCGAAAGGGAAGCTTCAGTAACATCCCAGATTTGACTATAAAAGGTACAAAAAAAGTCCTTTTAGTATCCACGGTTTGATGCCATCACAGGAGAGAACCAGCGCTGTCAGTAGTCGAAACATTTCATGATGGCTTCTCGGTCAAATTTGAAATTGAGGAAGACCTTGGAGGACAGAATGTGCTCGGAGTCTTTGCTTGGAGATCCTTCTGTGAAAAGAGAAGCTCATTTACTCGTATAAACACATATTTGTTATGGTTTGTACAATTGAAATCCTCTTATTGTGTTGAGTATGCAGTCAGGAAATTCCTCATATGTGTTTAACCTAATATGCACTTCTGATTGAAAGGAGGATTTGTATTCCCCATTTAGTTGTTTTTCATTATTATATTTTACTAAGTTAGCTTCAACAGTGTACGTGCAGTCCCAAAGTTACACATGTTAAATGGACAAACCTTTCTCAAAACTGTCTTGCAGTCTTCTGGGTTGAAGTTTTTTATCTTCTTTCTGTAGAAAAAGTATAAAAGCACAACACTTGGAATAAAAAATCATTCACAGAGCAGCAAAGGTTGATCCTTTTAAAATGATACATACCTTTAAAATTGGTCTAACATCTACAGGTTATCTATCTATCCATCCATCCATCCACCTACCTACCTACCTACTTACCTACCCATATATCTATCTACCTATCTATCCGTCTATCTATCTATCTATCCATCCATCTATCTATCTATCTATCTATCCATCCATCTATCTATCTATCTATCTATCTATCTATCTATCTATCTATCTACCTACCTACCTACCTACCTACCTATCTACCTACCTACCTACCTACCTACCTACCTACCTATCCATATACCTACCTACCTACCTACCCACATATCTATCTATCTATCTATCTATCTATCTATCTATCTATCTATCTATCTATCTATCTATCTATCTATCCATCCATCTATCTATCTATCTACCTACCTACCTATCCATATACCTATCTACCTATCTATCCATCCATCTACCTACCTACCTACCTACCTACCTACCTACCTACCTACCTACCTACCTACCTACCTACCTACCTACCTACCTACCCATATATCTATCTACCTATCTATCTATCTATCTATCTATCTATCTATCTATCTATCTATCTATCTATCTATCTATCTATCTATCTATCTATCTATCTATCTACCTACCTACCTACCTACCTACCTACCTACCTACCTACCTACCTACCTACCTACCTACCTACCTACCCATATATCTATCTACCTATCTATCCGTCTATCTATCTATCTATCCATCCATCTATCTATCTATCTATCTATCTATCTATCTATCTATCTATCTATCTATCTATCTATCTATCTATCTATCTATCTATCTATCCATCCATCTATCTATCTATCTATCTATCTATCTACCTACCTACCTACCTATCTACCTACCTACCTACCTACCTACCTACCTACCTACCTACCTACCTACCTACCTACCTATCCATATACCTACCTACCTACCTACCCATATATCTATCTATCTACCTATCTATCTATCTATCTATCTATCCATCCATCTATCTATCTACCTACCTACCTACCTACCTACCTACCTATCCATATACCTATCTACCTATCCATCCACCTACCTACCTACCTACCTACCTACCTACCTACCTACCTACCTACCTACCCACATTTTCTTCCCTTCTTTGCGCCAATGGGCTTCCATAAATTAAACGGGATCGCGTTATAAATATTTTTCTCGCGCATATATGACCCCGTAGTGACGCTCCTGACGTCACCACGGTGAAGAAGAACAACAACAAAGATGTCGGAGCCGACGGTCCGTGTTTCTGGGATCGTTTTATCTTCTCTGATGTTCCAGCACGGGAACACGGACTCTGACGCGGTGAGGGAACATCCCATAATATCCCAATGTGCTGCTGAACCTGCTGGGAACATGTGAAGCTTCTACTAAGTTCATCTGTTCTTATTGTTTTATCTCAAACTACTTATCCATTAATCGGCCTGGAGGTTCAGCTCTGTGCAGAAGAGATGATTTTTATAACTTTATTCTAGTCTGCTGAAAAATGTAGTTGAAAAACATTGCTATTATATGATCAATTAGGTACAATAAGTCCCTTTTTAAACGCTGAACTTATGACAATAACAACAACAACAATAACATGCCTATAGCATCTTCACATTTATATTTAATGTAATGTGCTATTTGTTGCTCACTTAATGTAAACAATATGCTATTTGTAATTGTTGTTATAATGTAATAATGTTTATTTGTCAGATGTGTGTGTGTGTGTGTGTGTGTGTGTGTGTGTGTGTGTGTGTGTGTGTGTGTGTGTGTGTGTGTGTGTGTGTGTGTGTGTGTGTGTGTGTGTGTGTGTGTGTGTGTGTGTGTGTGTGTGTGTGTGTGTGTGTGTGTGTGTGTGTGTGTGTGTGTGTGTAGGAGGGTCTGGTCCTGGGGGAGAGTCGGGTTGAAGAGCAGATCACCATCAGCGACTCTCAGGCCGACAGGATCAACATCCAGGAGATCTACTGTGAGAATATATCATTATTAATATAATATAACAGCATCCTTACTGTCCCTTTAATTTGATTGTTATAACTGTATAATAATAACCTCTTTATTTATTCTAACAGACGTACAGAAGCACATCGCCTGCAACAAACTGAACCAGTGAGTCCTGAGAGATTACACACCTATAGTACATATATATATATATATATATATATATATATATGTTCGTTTAATATTTATAAAATGTCATCTTCTTATTATAGACACATGCATTTCCAAACATTTGGTCTACCTATGTTGTAAATGTATTATCTCTTCGATTTACACACGGCATCTATTGCACGTCTGTCCGTCCTGGGAGAGGGATCCCTCCTCTGTTGCTCTCCCTGAGGTTTCTCCCATGTTCCTTTAAACTGTGGGGTTTCTCTGGAAGTGTTTCCTTGTACGATGTGAGGGTCTAAGGACAGAGGGTGTAAGGACAGAGGGTCTAAGGACAGAGGGTGTAAGGACAGAGGGTCTAAGGACAGAGGGTCTAAGGACAGAGGGTCTAAGGACAGAGGGTCTAAGGACAGAGGGTGTCGTATTGTCATACTGATATTGTGAACAAACTGTGCTGTTGTATTTGCTGTAAAGTGTCTTTACTGTAGGGTATCTTTATTATATGTACAGCACTTTGGCTCGACCAAAAATCATTTATAAATGTGCTATATAAATAAAACTGTGTGTGTGTGTGTGTGTGTGTGTGTGTGTGTGTGTGTGTGTGTGTGTGTGTGTGTGTGTGTGTGTGTGTGTGTGTGTGTGTGTGTGTGTTTTAATGTATGTGTGTGTGTGTGTGTGTGTGTGTGTGTTTTAATGTATGTGTGTGTGTGTGTCCTCAGTGTGTTAATGTGTGTGTGTGTGTCCTCAGTGTGTTAATGTGTGTGTGTGTGTGTGTGTGTGTGTGTGTGTGTGTTCATATGTGTGTGTGTTAATGTGTGTGTGTCCTCAGCGTGTTAATGTGTGTGTGTGTGTTAATGTGTGTGTGTGTCCTCAGTGTGTTAATATGTGTGTGTGTGTGTCCTCAGTGTGTTAATGTGTGTGTGTGTGTTAATGTGTGTGTGTGTCCTCAGTGTGTTAATGTGTGTGTGTGTCCTCAGTGTGTTCCTGAGTGTTCCCCTGCTGGTGAACAATCTGGGTCTTCAGGAGCCTCAGAGCTACTGGAAGCTTCCTGCCGGAAGACCATCAGAACGCTACAGCGCCACCATCAGGAGACACAGGTAACTACAGCCTGAACACCTGAGATACACAGGTAACTACAGCCTGAACACCTGAGATACACAGGTAACTACAGCCTGAACACCTGAGATACAGCGCCACCATCAGGAGACACAGGTAACTACAGCCTGAACACCTGAGATACAGCGCCACCATCAGGAGACACAGGTAACTACAGCCTGAACACCTGAGATACACAGGTAACTACAGCCTGAACACCTGAGATACACAGGTAACTACAGCCTGAACACCTGAGATACAGCGCCACCATCAGGAGACACAGGTAACTACAGCCTGAACACCTGAGATACAGCGCCACCATCAGGAGACACAGGTAACTCCAGCCTGAACACCTGAGATACACAGGTAACTACAGCCTGAACACCTGAGATACAGCGCCACCATCAGGAGACACAGGTAACTACAGCCTGAAGACCTGAGATACAGCTCCACCTTCAGGAGACACAGGTAACTACAGCCTGAACAGCTGAGATACAGCGCCACCTTCAGGAGACACAGGTAACTACAGCCTGAACACCTGAGATACAGCGCCACCTTCAGGAGACACAGGTAACTACAGCCTGAACACCTGAGATACAGCGCCACCATCAGGAGACACAGGTAACTACAGCCTGAACACCTGAGATACAGAGCCACCTTCAGGAGACACAGGTAACTACAGCCTGAACACCTGAGATACAGCGCCACCATCAGGAGACACAGGTAACTACAGCCTGAACACCTGAGATACAGCGCCACCTTCAGGAGACACAGGTAACTACAGCCTGAACACCTGAGATACAGCGCCACCTTCAGGAGACACAGGTAACTACAGTCTGAACACCTGAGATACAGCGCCACCTTCAGGAGACACAGGTAACTACAGCCTGAACACCTGAGATACAGCGCCACCATCAGGAGACACAGGTAACTACAGCCTGAACGCCTGAGATACAGCGCCACCTTCAGGAGACACAGGTAACTACAGCCTGAAGAACACCTGAGATACAGCACCACCTTCAGGAGACACAGGTAACTACAGCCTGAACACCTGAGATACAGCGCCACCATCAAGAGACACAGGTAACTACAGCCTGAACACCTGAGATACAGCGCCACCATCAGGAGACACAGGTAACTACAGCCTGAACACCTGAGATACAGCGCCACCATCAAGAGACACAGGTAACTACAGCCTGAACACCTGGGATACAGCGCCACCTTCAGGAGACACAGGTAACTACAGCCTGAAGAACACCTGAGATACAGCGCCACCATCAGGAGACACAGGTAACTACAGCCTGAGGAACACCTTCACACATCTTCTTCTCCTCTTCCTCCAGCTCCAGATTCTTCTCCTCTGACGGTCTGCTGCGAGACGTCAACGATGTGAACGCCATGAACGATTCTCTGCAGGAGGAGCTGTGTGTGTGTGTGTGTGTGTGTGTGTGTGTGTGTGTGTGTGTGTGTGTGTGTGTGTGTGTGTGTGTGTGTGTGTGTGTGTGTGTGTGTGTGTGTGTGTGTGTGTGTGTGTGTGTAGGAGGGTCTGGTCCTGGGGGAGAGTCGGGTTGAAGAGCAGATCACCATCAGCGACTCTCAGGCCGACAGGATCAACATCCAGGAGATCTACTGTGAGAATATATCATTATTAATATAATATAACAGCATCCTTACTGTCCCTTTAATTTGATTGTTATAACTGTATAATAATAACCTCTTTATTTATTCTAACAGACGTACAGAAGCACATCGCCTGCAACAAACTGAACCAGTGAGTCCTGAGAGATTACACACCTATAGTACATATATATATATATATATATATATATATATGTTCGTTTAATATTTATAAAATGTCATCTTCTTATTATAGACACATGCATTTCCAAACATTTGGTCTACCTATGTTGTAAATGTATTATCTCTTCGATTTACACACGGCATCTATTGCACGTCTGTCCGTCCTGGGAGAGGGATCCCTCCTCTGTTGCTCTCCCTGAGGTTTCTCCCATGTTCCTTTAAACTGTGGGGTTTCTCTGGAAGTGTTTCCTTGTACGATGTGAGGGTCTAAGGACAGAGGGTGTAAGGACAGAGGGTCTAAGGACAGAGGGTGTAAGGACAGAGGGTCTAAGGACAGAGGGTCTAAGGACAGAGGGTCTAAGGACAGAGGGTCTAAGGACAGAGGGTGTCGTATTGTCATACTGATATTGTGAACAAACTGTGCTGTTGTATTTGCTGTAAAGTGTCTTTACTGTAGGGTATCTTTATTATATGTACAGCACTTTGGCTCGACCAAAAATCATTTATAAATGTGCTATATAAATAAAACTGTGTGTGTGTGTGTGTGTGTGTGTGTGTGTGTGTGTGTGTGTGTGTGTGTGTGTGTGTGTGTGTGTGTGTGTGTGTGTGTGTTTTAATGTATGTGTGTGTGTGTGTGTGTGTGTGTGTGTGTGTTTTAATGTATGTGTGTGTGTGTGTCCTCAGTGTGTTAATGTGTGTGTGTGTGTCCTCAGTGTGTTAATGTGTGTGTGTGTGTGTGTGTGTGTGTGTGTGTGTTCATATGTGTGTGTGTTAATGTGTGTGTGTCCTCAGCGTGTTAATGTGTGTGTGTGTGTTAATGTGTGTGTGTGTCCTCAGTGTGTTAATATGTGTGTGTGTGTGTCCTCAGTGTGTTAATGTGTGTGTGTGTGTTAATGTGTGTGTGTGTCCTCAGTGTGTTAATGTGTGTGTGTGTCCTCAGTGTGTTCCTGAGTGTTCCCCTGCTGGTGAACAATCTGGGTCTTCAGGAGCCTCAGAGCTACTGGAAGCTTCCTGCCGGAAGACCATCAGAACGCTACAGCGCCACCATCAGGAGACACAGGTAACTACAGCCTGAACACCTGAGATACACAGGTAACTACAGCCTGAACACCTGAGATACACAGGTAACTACAGCCTGAACACCTGAGATACAGCGCCACCATCAGGAGACACAGGTAACTACAGCCTGAACACCTGAGATACAGCGCCACCATCAGGAGACACAGGTAACTACAGCCTGAACACCTGAGATACACAGGTAACTACAGCCTGAACACCTGAGATACACAGGTAACTACAGCCTGAACACCTGAGATACAGCGCCACCATCAGGAGACACAGGTAACTACAGCCTGAACACCTGAGATACAGCGCCACCATCAGGAGACACAGGTAACTCCAGCCTGAACACCTGAGATACACAGGTAACTACAGCCTGAACACCTGAGATACAGCGCCACCATCAGGAGACACAGGTAACTACAGCCTGAAGACCTGAGATACAGCTCCACCTTCAGGAGACACAGGTAACTACAGCCTGAACAGCTGAGATACAGCGCCACCTTCAGGAGACACAGGTAACTACAGCCTGAACACCTGAGATACAGCGCCACCTTCAGGAGACACAGGTAACTACAGCCTGAACACCTGAGATACAGCGCCACCATCAGGAGACACAGGTAACTACAGCCTGAACACCTGAGATACAGAGCCACCTTCAGGAGACACAGGTAACTACAGCCTGAACACCTGAGATACAGCGCCACCATCAGGAGACACAGGTAACTACAGCCTGAACACCTGAGATACAGCGCCACCTTCAGGAGACACAGGTAACTACAGCCTGAACACCTGAGATACAGCGCCACCTTCAGGAGACACAGGTAACTACAGTCTGAACACCTGAGATACAGCGCCACCTTCAGGAGACACAGGTAACTACAGCCTGAACACCTGAGATACAGCGCCACCATCAGGAGACACAGGTAACTACAGCCTGAACGCCTGAGATACAGCGCCACCTTCAGGAGACACAGGTAACTACAGCCTGAAGAACACCTGAGATACAGCACCACCTTCAGGAGACACAGGTAACTACAGCCTGAACACCTGAGATACAGCGCCACCATCAAGAGACACAGGTAACTACAGCCTGAACACCTGAGATACAGCGCCACCATCAGGAGACACAGGTAACTACAGCCTGAACACCTGAGATACAGCGCCACCATCAAGAGACACAGGTAACTACAGCCTGAACACCTGGGATACAGCGCCACCTTCAGGAGACACAGGTAACTACAGCCTGAAGAACACCTGAGATACAGCGCCACCATCAGGAGACACAGGTAACTACAGCCTGAGGAACACCTTCACACATCTTCTTCTCCTCTTCCTCCAGCTCCAGATTCTTCTCCTCTGACGGTCTGCTGCGAGACGTCAACGATGTGAACGCCATGAACGATTCTCTGCAGGAGGAGCTGTGTGTGTGTGTGTGTGTGTGTGTGTGTGTGTGTGTGTGTGTGTGTGTGTGTGTGTGTGTGTGTGTGTGTGTGTGTGTGTGTGTGTGTGTGTGTGTGTGTGAACCTCCTATTGTGTGTGTGTGTGTGTGTGTGTGTAAACCTCCTATTGTGTGTGTGAGAGAGTATTAACCTCCTAGTGTGTGTGTGTGTGTGTGTGTGTGTGTGTGTGTGTGTGTGTGTGAGAGTATTAACCTCCTAGTGTGTGTGTGTATATATTAACCTCCTATTGTGTGTGTGTGTGTGTGTGTGTATATTAACCTCCTATTGTGTGTGTGTGTGTGTGTGTGTGTGTATATTAACCGACTATTGTGTGTGTGTGTATTAACCTCCTATTGTGTGTGTGTAGGCAGCGTGCAGAGAGGTGGAGGACAGCGAGCGGCAGCTGGAGACTCTTCAGTCTGAAGTGTCAGCGCTGAGGAAGAGGAGCAGAGAGAGGAGGAAGAAGAGTGAAGCTGCAGGAAGAACAGGTTGGATTCCAAAAAAAAGATCATAGCAGAAATGTAGTTTTACAGGATGACATTGAACGCATCGCGATAGCGTTAGACGTCTGATTTCCACATGTCAGGCGTCACGTGATACCTTCCTGATCACATGCTCGATGTGTCTAAGTGTGTGTGACTGTGACTGTGTGTGTGTGTGACTGTGTGTGACTTTGACTGTGTGTGTGACTGTGTGTGTGACTGTGTGTGTGTGTCTATGTGTGTGACTTTGACTATGTGTGTGACTATGTGTGTGACTTTGACTGTGTGTGTGACTGTGTGTGTGACTTTGACTATGTGTGTGACTTTGACTGTGTGTGTGACTTTGACTGTGTGTGTGACTGTGTGTGTGTCTATGTGTGTGACTTTGACTATGTGTGTGACTTTGACTGTGTGTGTGACTATGTGTGTGACTGTGACTGTGTGTGTGACTATGACTGTGTGTGTGACTGTGTGTGTGACTGTGACTATGTGTGTGACTTTGACTGTGTGTGTGACTGTGTGTGTGACTATGTGTGTGACTGTGACTGCGTGTGACTGTGTGTGTGACTATGTGTGTGACTGTGACTGTGTGTGTGACTGTGTGTGTGACTGTGTGTGTGACTGTGTGAGTTTGACTGTGTGTGTGACTGTGTGTGTGACTATGTGTGTGACTGTGACTGCGTGTGACTGTGTGTGTCTGTGACTGTGTGTGTGACTGTGACTGTGTGTGTGACTGTGTGTGTGACTGTGACTGTGTGTGACTGTGTGTGTGACTATGTGTGTGACTGTGACTGTGTGTGACTGTGTGTGTGACTGTGTGACTTTGACTGTGACTATGTGTGTGACTATGTGTGTGACTATGTGTGTGACTGTGTGTGACTGTGTGTGACTATGTGTGTGACTATGTGTGTGACTGTGTGTGTGAGACTGTGTGTGTGACTGTGTGTGTGACTGTGTGTGACTGTGTGTGTGACTTTGACTGTGTGTGTGACTGTGTGTGTGACTGTGTGTGTGTCTATGTGTGTCTGTGTGACTGTGTGTGTGACTTTGACTGTGTGTGGGACTGTGTGTGACTTTGACTGTGTGTGTGACTGTGTGTGACTTTGACTGTGTGTGTGACTGTGACTGTGTGTGTGATTGTGACTGTGTGTGTGACTGTGTGTGTGACTATGTGTGTGACTTTGACTGTGTGTGTGACTATGTGTGTGACTTTGACTGTGTGTGTGACTGTGTGTGTGTGACTTTGACTGTGTGTGTGACTGACTGTGTGTGTGACTGTGACTGTGTGTGACTGTGTGTGACTGTGTGTGACTGTGTGTGTGACTGTGACTGTGTGTGACTATGTGTGTGACTTTGACTGTGTGTGACTGTGTGTGTGACTATGTGTGTGACTGTGTGTCTATGTGTGTCTGTGTGTGACTTTGACTGTGTGTATGACTGTGTGTGAGACTGTGTGTGACTATGACTGGGCGTGTGACTCTGTGTGACTGTGTGTGACTGTTTGACTGTGTGTGACTGAGTGTGACTGTGTGTGACTATGACTGTGTGTGACTGTTTGTGTGACTATGACTGTGCGTGTGACTGTGTGTGACTGTGTGTGTGACTGTGTGTGACTGTATGTGTGTGTGACTGTGTGTGTGACTGTATGTGTGACTGTGTGTGACTGTGTGTATGACTGTGTGTGTGACTGTGTGACTGTGTGTGTGACTGTGTATGACTGTGTGTGTGACTGTGTGTGTGACTGTGTGTGTGACTGTGTGTGACTGTGTGTGACTGTGTGTGACTATGACTGTGTGTGTGACTGTGTGTGTGACTGTGTGTGACTGTGTGACTGTATGTGTGACTGTGTGTGACTGTGTGTGACTGTGTGTGTGACTGTGTGTTTGACTGTGTGTGACTATGACTAAGTGTGTGACTGTGTGTGTGACTGTGTGTGTGACTGTGTGTGTGAGACTGTATGTGTGACTGTGTGTGTGACTGTGTGTGTGACTGTGTGTGTGTGACTGTATGTGTGACTGTGTGTGTGACTGTATGTGTGACTGTGTGTGTGACTGTGTGTGTGACTGTGTGTGTGACTGTGTGTGACTGTGTGTGTGACTGTGTGTGACTGTGTGTGACTATGACTGTGTGTGTGACTGTGTGTGTGACTGAGTGTGACTGTGAGTGTGACTGTGAGTGTGATTTTGTGTGTGACTGTGTGTGACTGTATGTGTGACTGTATGTGTGACTGTGTGTGACTGTGTGTGACTGTGTGTGTGACTGTATGTGTGACTGTGTGTGACTGTGTGTGACTATGACTGTGTGTGTGACTGTGTGTGACTGTGTGTGTGACTGTGTGTGTGACTGTATGTGTGACTGTGTGTATGACTGTGTGTGTGACTGTGACTATGACTGTGTGTGTGACTGTGACTATGACTGTGTGTGTGACTGTGTGTGTGACTGTGTGTGTGTCTATGTGTGTCTGTGTGACTGTGTGTGTGACTTTGACTGTGTGTGTGACTGTGTGTGACTTTGACTGTGTGTGTGACTGTGTGTGACTGTGACTGTGTGTGTGATTGTGACTGTGTGTGTGACTGTGTGTGTGACTATGTGTGTGACTTTGACTGTGTGTGTCACTATGTGTGTGACTTTGACTGTGTGTGTGACTGTGTGTGTGTGACTTTGACTGTGTGTGTGACTGACTGTGTGTGTGACTGTGACTGTGTGTGACTGTGTGTGACTGTGTGTGACTGTGTGTGTGACTGTGACTGTGTGTGACTATGTGTGTGACTTTGACTGTGTGTGTGACTGTGACTGTGTGTGACTTTGACTGTGTGTGACTGTGTGTGTGACTATGTGTGTGACTGTGTGTCTATGTGTGTCTGTGTGTGACTTTGACTGTGTGTGTGACTGTGTGTGAGACTGTGTGTGACTATGACTGGGCGTGTGACTCTGTGTGACTGTGTGTGACTGTTTGACTGTGTGTGACTGAGTGTGACTGTGTGTGACTATGACTGTGTGTGACTGTTTGTGTGACTATGACTGTGCGTGTGACTGTGTGTGACTGTGTGTGTGACTGTGTGTGACTGTATGTGTGTGTGACTGTGTGTGTGACTGTATGTGTGACTGTGACTGTGTGTGACTGTGTGTATGACTGTGTGTGTGACTGTGTGACTGTGTGTGTGACTGTGTGTGTTACTGAGTGTGACTGTGAGTGTGACTGTGTATGACTGTGTGTTTGACTGTGTGTGTGACTGTATGTGTGACTGTGTGTGACTGTGTGTGACTATGACTGTGTGTGTGACTGTGTGTGACTGTATGTGTGACTGTGTGTGTGACTGTGTGTATGACTGTGTGTGTGACTGTATGTGTGACTGTGTGTATGACTTTGTGTGTGACTGTGTGTGTGACTGTGTGTGACTGTGTGACTGTATGTGTGACTGTGTGTGACTGTGTGTGACTATGACTAAGTGTGTGACTGTGTGTGTGTGACTGTGTGTGTGACTGTGTGTGTGAGACTGTATGTGTGACTGTGTGTGTGACTGTGTGTGTGACTGTGTGTGTGTGACTGTATGTGTGACTGTGTGTGTGACTGTATGTGTGACTGTGTGTGTGACTGTGTGTGTGACTGTGTGTGTGACTGTGTGTGACTGTGTGTGTGACTGTGTGTGACTGTGTGGGACTATGACTGTGTGTGTGACTGTGTGTGTGACTGAGTGTGACTGTGAGTGTGACTGTGAGTGTGACTTTGTGTGTGACTGTGTGTGACTGTATGTGTGACTGTATGTGTGACTGTGTGTGACTGTGTGTGACTGTGTGTGTGACTGTATGTGTGACTGTGTGTGACTGTGTGTGACTATGACTGTGTGTGTGACTGTGTGTGACTGTGTGTGTGACTGTGTGTGTGGCTGTATGTGTGACTGTGTGTATGACTGTGTGTGTGACTGTGACTATGACTGTGTGTGTGACTGTGACTATGACTGTGTGTGTGACTGTGTGTGAGTGTGACTGTGTGTGACTGTGACTGTGTGTGACTGTGTGTGTGACTGTATGTGTGACTGTGTGTGTGACTGTGTGTGACTGTGTGTGTGGCTGTGTGTGTGACTGTGTGTGAGTGTGAGACTGTGTGTGTGACTGTGTGTGACTGTGTGTGTGACTGTGTGTGACTATGACTGTGTGTGTGACTGTGTGTGTGACTGTGTGTGTGACTGCGTGTGACTGTGTGTGTGGCTGTGTGTGTGACTGTGTGTGAGTGTGAGACTGTGTGTGTGACTGTGTGTGACTGTGTATGTGACTGTGTGTGACTATGACTGTGTGTGTGACTGTGTGTGTGACTGTGTGTGTGACTGTGTGTGACTGTGTGTGACTGTGTGTGACTGTGTGTGACTGTGTGTGAGACTGTGTGTGAGTGTGCCTGTGTGTGACTGTGTGTGTGACTGTGTGACTGTGTGTGTGACTGTGTGTGACTGTGTGTGACTATGACTGTGTGTGTGACTGTGTGTGACTGTGTGTGACTATGACTGTGTTTGTGAGTGACTGTGTGTGTGACTGTGTGTGTGTGACACTGTGTGTGTGACTGTGTGTGTGACTGTGTGTGACTGTGTGTGTGACTGTGTGTGACTATGACTGTGTGTGTGACTGTGTGTGTCTTTGACTGTGTGTGACTATGACTGTGTGTGTGACTGTGTGTGACTATGACTGTGTGTGTGACTGTGTGTGACTTTGACTGTGTGTGACTGTATGTGTGACTGTGTGTGACTGTGTGTGACTGTGTGACTGTGTGTGTGACTGTGTGTGACTGTGTGTGACTGTGTGTGTGACTGTGTGTGACTATGACTGTGTGTGTGACTGTGTGTGTCTTTGACTGTGTGTGACTATGACTGTGTGTGTGACTGTGTGTGACTATGACTGTGTGTGTGACTTTGACTGTGTGTGACTGTGTGTGTGTGTGTGACTGTGTGTGTCTTTGACTGTGTGTGACTGTGTGTGACTGTGTGACTGTGTGTGACTGTGTGTCTTTGACTGTGTGTCTTTGACTGTGTGTGACTGTTTGTGACTGTGTGTGTGACTGTGTGTGACTGTGTGTGACTTTGACTGTGCGTGTGACTGTGTGTGTGACTGTGTGTGTCACTGTGTGTGACTGTGTGTGTGACTGTGTGTGAGACTGTGTGTGACTGTGTGTGACTGTGTGTGACTGTGTGTGACTGTGTGTGTGACTGTGTGTGTGAGACTGTGTGTGACTGTGACTGTGTGTGTGACTGTGTGTGTGACTGCGTGTGACTGTGTGTGTGACTGTGTGTGACTGTGTGTGACTATGAATGTGTGTGTGACTGTGTGTGTGTGTGAGACTGTGTGTGACTGTGTGTGTGACTGTGTGACGGTATGTGTGACTGTGTGTGTGACTGTGTGTGACTGTGTGTGACTGTGTGTGTGACTGTGTGTGACTGTGTGTGACTGTGTGTGTGACTGTGTGTGACTATGACTGTGTGTGACTATGACTGTGTGTGTGTGACTGTGTGTGTGACTGTGTGACTGTGTGTGTGACTGTGTGTGACTGTGTGTGTGACTGTGTGTGACTCTGACTGTGTGTGACTATGACTGTGTGTGTGACTGTGTGTGTCTTTGACTGTGTGTGACTATGACTGTGTGACTGTGTGTGACTATGACTGTGTGTGTGACTGTGTGTGACTTTGACTGTGTGTGACTGTGTGTGTGACTGTGTGTGTGACTGTGTGTGTGACTGTGTGTGACTGTGTGTGTGACTGTGTGTGTGTATGACTGTATGTGTGACTGTGTGTGTGACTGCGTGTGACTGTGTGTGTGACTGTGTGTGTGACTGTGTGTGACTGTGTGACTGTGTGTGTGACTGTGTTTGACTGTGTGTGTGACTGTGTGTGACTATGACTGTGTGTGTGACTGTGTGTGTCTTTGACTGTGTGTGTGTGACTGTGTGTGTGACTGTGTGTGACTGTGTGTGTGTGACTGTATGTGTGACTGTGTGTGTGACTGCGTGTGACTGTGTGTGTGACTGTGTGTGTGACTGTGTGTGACTGTGTGACTGTGTGTGTGACTGTGTGTGACTGTGTGTGTGACTGTGTGTGACTGTGTGTGACTGTGTGTGTGACTGTGTGTGACTATGACTGTGTGTGTGACTGTGTGTGACTATGACTGTGTGTGTGACTTTGTGTGACTTTGACTGTGTGTGACTGTGTGTGTCTTTGACTGTGTGTGACGGACCGTCTACACAGCAGCGTTAAAAAAATCTTGTAACGCTTCTGCCCATTCACTTTGAATGGGGTGACGTCACTTTCCCTCACTTTTCGCCGAACTGCATTGTGGGCAGGCGAGCGGAGATTTTCAGGATTTTCAGGATTCAAAGTTGAACAATGTTCAACTTTTGAGGCTGAGGTGGAAGCGTCAGCCAATCAAATCCTGTGTACGCAAATCTGACAGTTCAAGCTCTAGCCAATCAAACGGCGTGTATGCTGGGAGAGACATACCGCAGGTCATTTCCTCATATTCCAAAAAATGGAGGAGAAATTAGCGGTAGGGAATCACCCGGTGCTTTATGACCAGACCTACCGGGATACAAACCGGAGGAGCCAGGCATGGAGGGAGGTGGCAGAGACAGTGATATGTTTTCGCCTGTTTTGGGGAGTTTATATCCAGTTTACTTCGGGCTTTTTTGCTTCGTATGTCGCGGGCGGGAGATTCATGTGATTGGTTGTTCGCAAAAAATCCCCAAGCTTCAGATACGCCCACCTCCAAGATTTTTTTAACGCTGCTGTGTAGACGGTCCGTGACTGTATGTGACTGTGTGTGACTGTGTGTGACTGTGTGTGACTGTGTGTGACTTTGACTGTGCGTGTGACTGTGTGTGTGACTGTGTGTCACTGTGTGTGACTGTGTGTGACTTTGACTGTGCGTGTGACTGTGTGTGTGATTGTGTGTGTGACTGTGTGACTGTGTGTGACTGTGTGTGTGACTGTGTGTGACTGTGTTTGTTGTGGAGTCATGATGAAGAGTCAGTCTTACGCTGTGTTCCAGGCGAGGAAGAGGAGGACCAGAGGAGGAATCTTCGTCTCCAGGAGGCCGTCGGCGCTCTGTTCAAGCGCTCGCCGCTCTTCCTCACACAAACTCTGACGCTGCAGGGGTTTCCTGTCCCTGAACGCACCTTCAGCGGAGAGGAAGAGGAGGAGGAAGAGGCAGTGTGTGAGGAGGACGAGGAGGAAGAGGCAGTGTGTGAGGAGGAAGAGGAGGAAGAGGCAGAGGCAGTGTATGAGGAGGAGACTCAGGAGAACACACACTCCCGAAAGAGGAGGAGAGAGATGGCGGCGAGCAGCGAGAGGAAACGCAGAAAGAGTGAATCCTGAATGAAACGAGCTCAGGTCGGAGGAGGGTCTCTCCCCCCCCCCCCTCCTCTCCCCTCCTCTCCTCTCCTCTCCCCTCCCCTCCCCTCCTCTCCCCTCCCCTCCTCTCCTCTACCCCCTCCTCTCCTCTCCTCTCCTCTCCCCTCCCCTCCCCTCCTCTCCCCTCCCCTCCTCTCCTCTCCTCTCCCCTCCTCTCCTCTCCCCTCCTCTCCCCTCCTCTCCCCTCCCCTCCTCTCCCCTCCCCTCACCTCCTCTCCCCTCCTGAAGTGATCTGATGTATTTTATAAGTTGTTTCCATTTGATAAAGTCGTCTTTTGATAAAGTCTGTGTCAGTCTTTAATTTAATTATTTAAACATGCCGTTTGTGTCTACAGTTGAAACTAACACATTATTTAAATAAATACAATTAATTTGCATAATATATATAATTACAAATAGTACACTGTAGTGATCACTGATTCATACACTGGGGTTACATAATTCAATCCAGGAACTACAGGTTGGGGGTATTGTTTCGCACGGACACATATCTTGACGGTACCTCCGGGGTACCTACTGTGTGTGTGTCTCTTGCACTTTCTCTTAGTCTTCTCGGCTCGACCCGACAGCATGTGTATTTCTGCTCCTCATTAAAGCCAGATTTGCACCTCCGATGCACCGCCTCCGTCTCCCTTCTCTCGGCACTACAACACTAAGCCAGTGCTTCTCAAAGTGTGGTCTGTGAGCGCCCCCAATATTTTGAAACTAAGGTTTTCATTTCAGAAAGTTTCTTATACATTTGTCAAAGTTTGTCATCAAAATATCTCATAAGTTAGTTGTTTTCATCACAATATGACCCCGTAGAGACGCTCCTGACGTCACCACAGTGAAGAACAACAACAGAGATGGCGGATATATTGTTTTGTTATTTATTTAGATAATCTATTGTATTTTTCACTGGTCAGACAAATAAGGATTATTTTCCTTTTTTTATTTTAGATATTTATTATTATTTTGTGTAGTTTTTTTAATTGTGTATTGTTTTTGCGACATTGCATTTTATTTATATGACTCAGACAAGTATTTTATTAACGTGTTTGTAATTGTTTTAATTGAGATATTATATTTTTATTTTATTTCTAAAAAATCCAAATATTTGGATTAGACATCTAAGGAATAACACAAATATTTTATTGGTAACACTTTATATTAAGGTACATATTCACCATCAACTAGTTGTTAATTAACATGCATATTAGCAGTATATTGGCTCTTTATTAGTCATTATAAAACACTTATTAATGCCTTATTCTACATGACCATATTCTACAAGTAATAAGCCATTAGTTGAGAGTTTTTCCTCAATAACCCTCTAATTAGCAGCGACGTGCAGTCAGGGGAGGCAGGGGAGGCAGAGCCTCACCTGTCATACTCCAATGTAACGGAAAAACAATTAAAGAAAAACTAAATAATAATAATAATAAAATGTCTCCACTGATCTTGTGTAAATGTGATTTCTGAAAGATTCCAATCGCTTTTTATAGTCAAAATCAGCAAATTTGCCGAGCTCCGCTACGGGAGCGATGAGAAGTGAGGCAGGGACGAGCACTGCCTCATGTAAGCCCACAGTAACTTGCTGGAGCACGGGCACTAATTTAGTGCGGCCACTTATTTTGTGAGCGTGCTCAAGCCAGTTACTGTGGGGTGAGGTGAGGCACAGATGAGCTCTGCCTCACTTCAGAATGCGTCACCTCACAGAAACTGGCTGGAGCACGGGCCCTAAGCGCATGCCTGTTACCATCTCACTGTAGGTCACCAATGTAATGTTTGTAGATCCCTTTATTACATTTATCCTCGCCATCCATAGTCTCTAAATAACTTATTTCACGTATATATGATATTTAGGCTCGCTGGTCTCATCGTACAACGGCAATGAAAAAAGCACCAAGAGAGGCAGCCATAACCTCTGCCGCACTGAAGGGGGCGCACGTGAGCCCACAGGTTCTTGTTGCTACTGTTATTCTACCGCAAACAACAAACTAGACTTTTGAAACTACAGGAAGATAAGGAGGACTTTTACAAAACAGTAATAGAGATTGTTGTCCAGAAGGACAGCATGGACTTCATCTTCAAGTCAAGGTAAGACCACAACTGTAATGAAAATGGGATCTTACTTAGAAAGAACAATCCAATATTTAGATTTTGGGTATCCTTTTGTTGATCGGTCTGTTTAAAATTAATCATAGCATCAGACTAAAAAAGCTTTTGAAAATAACAGAATATTTCGATTTAGGTCAAAATAGGCTATAATATTTGTAAATCTGACTCTGAAAGAGTCAGTGCCTCACCAGCCATGAACCTCACCGCACGTCACTGCTAATTTTGAGTTTTTCCTCAATAACCCTCTAATTAGTGCTTATTTGTTGCAAGTAAGGAAGTTGTTGAACATGAGTTTGGGTCTCAATATGCTCTGATCAATATGGGCCTAATGAGGCAGCAGTACCACAAGAATAGTAATTCTCCCATAATAACACTTAACAAATATGGTATATTCTTATGTAACAAGACGTAAAAGTATAAGTGTTAATTGTGTCTAAATAACTCAAAATTAGGTATTGCTATCTAAGAATATGTTCCCTATTTGAAAGTGAAGTCTTGTTCATAACCAATAAGCTAGTAGTTTGACTCTAATGAGGTATTTCTATCTAAGAACATGTTCCCTATTTTAAAGTGAAGTCTTGTTCATAACCAATAAGCTAGTAGTTTGACTCTAATGAGGTATTTCTATCTAAGAACATGTTCCCTATTTTAAAGTGAAGTCTTGTTCCTAACCAATAAGCTAGTAGTTTGACTCTAATGAGGTATTTCTATCTAAGAACATGTTCCCTATTTTAAAGTGAAGTCTTGTTCATAACCAATAAGCTAGTAGTTTGACTCTAATGAGGTATTTCTATCTAAGAACATGTTCCCTATTTTAAAGTGAAGTCTTGTTCATAACCAATAAGCTAGTAGTTTGACTCTAATGAGGTAATTCTATCTAAGAACATGTTCCCTATTTTAAAGTGAAGTCTTGTTCATAACCAATAAGCTAGTAGTTTGACTCTAATGAGGTATTTCTATCTAAGAACATGTTCTCTATTTTAAAGTGAAGTCTTGTTCATAACCAATAAGCTAGTAGTTTGACTCTAATGAGGTATTTCTATCTAAGAACATGTTCTCTATTTTAAAGTGAAGTCTTGTTCATAACCAATAAGCTAGTAGTTTGACTCTAATGAGGTATTTCTATCTAAGAACATGTTCCCTATTTTAAAGTGAAGTCTTGTTCATAACCAATAAGCTAGTAGTTTGACTCTAATGAGGTATTTCTATCTAAGAACATGTTCCCTATTTTAAAGTGAAGTCTTGTTCATAACCAATAAGCTAGTAGTTTGACTCTAATGAGGTATTTCTATCTAAGAACATGTTCCCTATTTTAAAGTGAAGTCTTGTTCATAACCAATAAGCTAGTAGTTTGACTCTAATGAGGTATTTCTATCTAAGAACATGTTCCCTATTTTAAAGTGAAGTCTTGTTCATAACCTAGTTATATATATATATATAGTTAATAAGCTAGTAGTTTGACTCTAATGAGTAAGCATATTGTGCCTCCTATGCACAAGGTTAACATTGAAAGTGACGATGATATGTCCCAATGCGTCTCAATGTACATGTTACTCCAGCTGCATATCAGTTTAGTCCACTCAAATGGCGCAAAACTCGCGTTCCATGGACAGACGTGTAAAACACTCAAATTACAATATATCGAGCTCTAGACTACTTTATAACATTTGTAAAAATGTTGTTAACACTCTGGGTGTGTGAGAAAAGTGTCAGCCTGCCAACAAGCAGTGTGCTGTCATTTGAAACATGTTACCCCACTGTTTAACACACCTTTACCCACGTTTCGAGCACTTACTGCTGGGTCAATGTGTCCTCTTTCTTCCCCCTGGGTGTGTGTGAGACAAGTGAAGTGAGTCAGCCTGCCAACAAGCAGCAGTGTGCTGTCATTTGAAACATGTTACCCCACTGTTTGACAAACCTTTACCCACGTTTCGAGCACTTACTGCTGGGTCAATGTGTGCTCCAATGTGTCCTATTTCGCCCCCCTGGGTGTGTGTACGTTTAAGCTGCTGAAAGCAGTGATTCTGCAGTTTTTAGTTTATTGTACATTTAATAAATTAAATATGATTAATATGAACAATGTTCAGTCTATACTGACATGTTTATGTCAATATCTCTCCATGTTTGTTGAGTCCAATGTACAACGTCTAAAAATGACAATTATGACTGAATTAAAACAGTTTGACCACTTGTAACACTCATGTAGCCATGGTTGTGGCGCTGCTCACTGGGCAACGCTTCAGATTCACTCTCCTTTTGAATTAAAACAGTCGCCCAGACTTTAAACACACCTTTACCCACGTTTTGAGGACTTACTGCTGGGTCAATGTGTGCTCCAATGTGTCCTCTTTCTTCCCCCTGGGTGTGTGTGAGACAAGTGAAGTGAGTCAGCCTGCCAACAAGCAGCAGTGTGCTGAAATTTAAAACATGTTACCCCACTGTTTGACACACCTTTACCCACGTTTTGAGGACTTACTGCTGGGTCAATGTGTGCTCCAATGTGTCCTCTTTCTTCCCCCTGGGTGTGTGTGAGACAAGTGAAGTGAGTCAGCCTGCCAACAAGCAGCAGTGTGCTGTCATTTGAAACATGTTACTCCACTGTTTGACACACCTTTACCCACGTTTCGAGCACTTAATGCTGGGTCAATGTGTCCTCTTTCTTCCCCCTGGGTGTGTGTGAGACAAGTGAAGTGAGTCAGCCTGCCAACAAGCAGCAGTGTGCT